CTTTACAACACCAAAGTTAATTTTTACAACGTCAAAGTTCATCTTGACAAAGTCAATATTTCCCTATATATACAGCAAGGAGCACTGATGATGATTCATTCGGAATCGAAATATGGCCTTATTTGCAGCATGAATTCGAAAAATAAGTTTATTCGGAATTTTAATAAACTAAACGTTCACCAAAAAACATTAGTGAGAAAAATCGAAAAAACGAACTACAAACATATTAACGCCAAACGTTCGGTAGAATTTATAGAATATTGTAAAAATTATGATCTATTACCAACATATATATATATATATATATATATATATATATATATATATATATATATATATATATATATATATATATATAACACCTACGGACAAGCACACTAACAGGATACAAACATTTAAGTTTTTTAGGCAAACCACACACGCGCGTACTCTTAAACATACGCACACGCGCACACACACATACATACAGGCATACATACAGACATACATGCGTACAGACATACATACGTACAGACATACATACGTACAGACATACATACGTACGTACATGCATGCATCTATACAGATATACAAGTCATAATGATTAGTTCGTATTTACTTATTTATGACTTCATTTGAACCTCACGCAATTTATTTTTATTGCAATATAAGGAGAAGAAAAGAGGAAGAAAAGAGAGAAAAATCGCAGAAAGAGAGAGAGAGAGAGAAAGAGAAAGGAAAAAGTTGGCTGAGAGAAAAATAATGACAGAACACGAGAGGATTAGAAGTCGGAAAAAGAGCAGAAGATAGAGAGAGAGAGAGAGAGAGAGAGAGGGAAAGAGAGGGGGAGGGAGAAAGAGAGAAGTGGAGATAGAAGGAGAAAAGAAAAAAGTTATGTTTTACTAAAATTAAGTCTAATTGATGGATGTCTGGCAAAATTTTCACTATAAAAATATTATCTCAGATTACCTAATAGTATTTTAATTTTCCTCAAAAGTAAATGGAGAAGATGAAAAACGTTTTAAATCTCAAATGAAAACAGAAATATATGAATTGTATGTATGTATGTATGTATGTATGTATGTATGTATGTATGTATGTATGTATGTATGTATGTATGAATGTATGTATGTATGTATGTATGTATGTATGTATGTATGTATGTATGTATGTATGTATGTATGTATGTATGTATGTATGTATGTATGTATGCATGCATGCATGCATGCATGTATGTATGTATGTATGTATGTATGTATGTATGTATGTATGTATGTATGTATGTATGTATGTATGTATGTATGTATGCATGCATGTATGTATGTATGTATGTAACCCAATAAGTGAAAGGATGATAAAATATTATATTAGATATGATGAATATATTATGTTCATTAACCAGCTGGTAATGAAATTTTCCAATTAATGAAATACAATTAGCCAAACAAAATAATGATTGAATTGCGAATGAATGAATAAATGAATGAATGAATGTATGAACGAACGAATGAATGGATGAATGGATGAACGAGTAAATGAATGCCTCCACATTTCAAATGTTATCAGAATGAATGGATGGATGGTTACCAAAGAAATATTGAATCAACCACACACACGCACACACTGCACATTACAACGCGTGCCTTTGATTGGATTAGTGAATTACTAATTTAGGTCAATGTAACAATGAATAGAGGAGTGAATAAATTATGATAATTAGCTGGCCAATAGGAAAAGATCTTTATTGCGAAATTTAGTAGGTCAATATGGCTTCAAGTGAACGAATAAAAAATTACATGAGGTGATGAGTTTGCGAAATGAACGAACGAACGAATGAACAAGTGATGAAGACTGATTGAATAAATAAATAAGTAAAAAAATAAATAATTATCTGATGAATGAATGAATGAATTAATTAATAAGTGCATAAGTGAAGGAATGATTCAATATA